GAAGAATCATCTGAATTACTTATTTCAACACATACAAACATACTTGTGGATTCCTGCTCTGAATCCAGATGTGCTAAATCATAATTTCGAGTGCCTTCTAATCTGTATATTTAACAAATCCTGCCAGGTGATTCTTATCAGCTCAATTTGGGAAATACATAAAATTCTGGATTAGGCCGGGCGTGGTGGCTCACGCCTGTAATCCTAGCTCTCTGGGAGGCCAAGGTGGGAGGATCGCTCAAGGTCAGGAATTCAAAACCAGCCTGAGCAAGAGCAAGACTCTGTCTCTACTAAAAATAGAAATAAATTAATTGGCCAACTAAAAATATATAGAAAAAATTAGCCGGGCATAATGGCACATGCCTGTAGTCCCAGCTACTGGGGAGGCTGAGGCAGGAGGATTGCTTGAGCCCAGGAGTTTGAGGTTGGTATGAGCTAGGCTGATGCCATGGCACTCTAGCCCGTGCAACAGAGTGAGATTCTGTCTCAAAAAGAAAAAATAAACTCTGGATTATGAACACCTGTAATACTTATATCTCACACTCACTCCACTCATTAGGAGGCTATAGTTTGGTTTGACTCTAGTCAAGGAGCTGGGGGTGCTTCTTACGTCTTAGACTGAGTGGAAGTAGTGTTTGGTCCTACTACTAAGGTGAACGCAAATCTAAAAGATTCTGTGCTGTGATATTTTAGCCCTGTAGAGAAGCCCTCCCCTTTTAGACTCTCAGAGAATCAGAATGTTCATTTAATAAAGGGACTAGAGTTTGCAGATAAAGTACAGGATGCCCAGTTAAATCTGAATTTCAGATAAATTATGAATAAATTTTCTGGTATAAGTATCTCCAAATTCTATATGAGACATACTTTAAAATTTTGTTATTTATGGGAAATTCAAATTTAACTGGTTGTCCTAAATCTGTTTTTGCTAAATCTGGAAATCCTAGGCTGGAGAACATCCTTGCAAATGATCTCAGTGTGACCAAGCTGCATACCATGCTCAGCAACACTGGGCAGCTGAGCAGAATTGCTAGAGTCCTACTTAGATGAGAGTCTTTGAGTAACACAGAGGTAGTCAAGAGGAATCTTAATGCTGATAGGTCTTTGGATAAGAAAAGAAAGATCTCATTCAAACGGGAATTTTTTTTCTTTTATTTCTTTTTTATTTATTTATTTATCTATTTTTTTGAGACTGAGTCTTGCTCTGTTGCCCGAGCTAGAGTACCATGGTGTCAGCTTAGCTCACAGCAACCTCAAACTCCTGGGCTCAAGCAATCCTCCTGCCTCAGCCTCCTAAGTAGCTGGGACTACAGGCATATGCCACTATACCCTGCTCATTTTTTCTATATATTTTTAGATGGCCAATTAATTTATTTCTATTTTTAGTAGAGACAGGGTTTCATTCTTGCTCAGGCTGGTCTTGAACTCCTGAGCTGAAACGATCCTCCTGCTTCGGCCTCCCAGAGAGCTAGGATTGCAGGCGTGAGCCACCATTCCTGGCCAATCAGGGGAAATTTTTTAAAGGCTCCAGCCTCTGGGAAGGGTGCCCAGGAACTCAGAATGAACTCTTTAAAATGGGGAGAAACAGGTTTGGCATTACTGTTAAAAATGAGGAGTTCTGCACAGAATAGAGTAATCATAGCAGTGCCTGGTCCATCTTAAGGAACTAGGAATAAATTCTGCATCAGAGGGGACTTTAAACAGCCAGGACTCTACTTATATATGCATTGTCCCTGCTGCTGTTCTAGCAAAGGGCTACTTCTTTGCATTTTGGGTAGAAAAAGTCTATATCTTTCAGCAGTGATGTGATGAGGGGCATTTGGGAGTAGTGGAGAATTTAGGATACACACAGAGGTGAGAGTAGGGAAAGGAGGAACATCTCCCAGTAAGCAGAGAGAAACCACCAGCCTCCCAGGCTGGACACTGTCAGGGCCGGACTTCTAGTCATCACACTGCATTGAAGCTGGAACCAAATCCCTCTGCAATTATGACTTACATCCTTAATTTTTCTCAAGACTGTTATGGATAAATACTTACAAAGGGTGTTATTTTTTTCTACTTGTACTTTTAATTTGCTAAATTTTACTAAGGCCTTATTCAGACTCATGCATTTTATGTCAACACATTAAAAGTCAGACGTGTAGTCATGTCTGATCTTAATTATTCAATTATTTGTTTTATATCAGCTGAGGCTCCTTGACCTAGATTCAGTCAATTTGTATTTGTAGAGTTTTCCAGTATTAGCACTTCATTTGGTGTTTTATGACATAAGGCTTTATTTGAAAACATCTTGCCGAACTGCTGTTTGCTACTTCCTGAACATACTGTACAGGACAGAATGTAGCTCGTAATAAAATGCAGGCTTTCCTCCGGCTTGGTATTATAATGCTGTATTATACATGTCAATTATATTAGGAAGCTTATGCCTTTCCTTTAGTGATTAAAATTTCCAGCGGGGTCGGGGGGGGGTTGCACAGGGGGTTAGTGGGGAGAATGAAAGAAAAGAAAAAAGTTTATTTGTTTTCAATAAATCAGCCCCCTCTGGGAAAGATTAACTTTCTGATACAGTACATAATTTAGTAATCCAATTGTTGCATTCTCTACATAGGCCTCCTTTCACTCACAAGAGTATTCTTTATGTCATTTCTAACTTTTAGAATTGCTTTTAGAAAAGTTTTTAATAATAGAATAGACTGCGTTCATACCTCTAAGAGCTTGTTTTCTTGGTACCACCTTAGAAAACATTGCAAATGGGTTCTCTACCAGTGTGCAGAAATTGGGGTGTATATGTGTGTGTGTGTGTGTGTGTGTGTGTGTGTGTTTTAAATAATACCTCAGGGTGGCAAATTCATGTGTTCTCTCACTGCAGGGAAGCAACACATTTTTAAAAAAACACCAGAGGGAATTGCCACTGCTGACTTTTGTGCAAAGAAGAACAAAACGGTTGCCATGTCTTTTCTTTTAACAGTCAATGGGCAAGAAATAATCCTATGGTGGCCTATTCTACATTTGCCAGACCTGTATTAAATTTATAAACAATTTTTGGAGGAAAAAACACTTATTTTCCACACACAAAAAAATGTGTTCATAAAGGATGTAGAAAAACTGATGGGAAGTTAAAGAAAAGGGACCAAGGTCGTTAAAATTATGCAAAATAGTTCCTCTGCAGAAATCTTACCAGAAATGGGCTTGTTTTACTTGAGAAGTGTTGGGTTATGGTCCAAAGTGTGTGTGTGTGTGTGTGTGTGTGTGTGTGTGTGTGTGTGTATTTTGAGAGGGTGGGTTGTGGAGGGATGAGTTGCCCCAGTCTTTTGAGGAATTAAAGGTGTTCCCTCCTCATGGAAAGATCCAGACCCCTGCTTTGGAGGCCAGGGGAAGCGCACCTGCTGTCCTTTCATCTGACCACAGGGGGCGCTTCTTTCTCATCTCATTGAAAAGGTCTCTTGAGTAGCTATTGAGACACTGATTGTGAGTCCCTGAAAATGTTATCACAGCTTCCTCACCCCACCACCTGCCTCACTCCTGGGCTTTAGAACCACCCAGAGGTTCTTACAGGCTATGCAGTGAGTAACTTCCCCTGGGGTCAAAGGCCCAAGTAATGAGGGGTGTTGATCAATCCTAAAAGGGCATCTCTTACTTCCTTCCAAAGCATGTGTGAGGCAAAGTAGCAAATGTAAGAAAGCATTTCATTCTGCTGGTCAGCAGAATTTCACAAAGCCCCTGACTTAGTGACTGAGCGCAGCCCTCCGGAAGAATGCCCCGAAGACGATAAGCAGGACAGAGCACAGCTTGAATCACTGCATTTTTTAACAAAGATAAAGTCAGTGATCCTAGACCTTGTCTGTTCTTGTACATAAGATAACGTCTGACAGGAGTAATGGTTATGCCTCTATAATCTGTCACCAGATGTACTCTCACGCTCAAACTTTGGTGAGACTTTGCTCTAATGTAACTTCTGAGCACATGCAGAACCTCCACCACCTGATAAATAAGTCGTAGGCTGAAACACTGCTTTGGAGCTAACAGAGACTCTCTGTAATGCTCAGTAAGATTGAATAAAACTAACTTTATTTTTTTTAAAGCCTGATTTGTTTTCTTTAGTTGACACATAGTTAAGCTCTGAGGGAAGGGAGGAGTTTCTGCGTGTCCTGAGTTGAGAAGGCTTAGCCGGACTCGGTGATGCTTCAGAAACTGGGCACAGTGCTGCCCATCACGACTGCTTGTTACATGTCCTCTTGCTTTTGGAAAGGTAGGCTTCTAGAAAATTCTCCTTAACCTGCTCTTTCATTTTACTGATGAGTTGAATTTTTTTTTTAAAAGATCAGCCAAGGGCAGTAGTAAGAAGGGGGAAAACAGTGGAACAAAGAGTTCCATCTTGGTAAGTCGAATTTAAGTTGTGAATTAGAAATTATAAAAGATAATGTGTGGATTTTCTTTGCAATTTAAATTGAGGGTCTAAGGTTTTATGACTCACCTTGACTGGAGTGTGATTTATATGGGTCTGAATTTTGTATTTTGGTCATGGGAGTCCAGGAAGCTGAAGCTACAGATTTTTTGCTTAAGAGCCATAAAAGAACAGTAATGTATTTTCATGTGTATTTATAATATAGGGTGAAATCTATTTATGTGCCCAAACTGTCCTAATAGTTTCTGGCCTCAGGAATGACTACTGTGGTGGGAAGTGTACAGAACTTTTGGCTTGTGTCTCCTCAGAAAAGTTCCTTAATTTTACTGAGCAATTCATTGTTTCCTCATCTGTAAAATGTATGCTTACTTTATGGAACTTATGCAAAAAAGAAGTGAGATTATACATAGAAAAATGCCTAGCAGAGTAACTGACACAAAAATATCAAAAATATTCTTTATAATTATTCATTAATCAGTTGAGAATACAGCTCACAATTTAGAGGAACAAATTGTGCCCCTTCTGGAGTTTGTATCAGAAGAAATGTTCAGGAGTCAGTTGTAATGATGCTTTTTTTTTTTTTTTTTTGCTTTTCCAGCCACAGAACAAAGTCTTCAGGCTGGCCACCTCCCTCAGGAACCTGGGGCTTGAACCAGGTGCCACCCTATGGATGGGAGATGACGGCAAACAGAGATGGGCGAGACTACTTCATCAGGTAGGTTGAACACATGGCATGAACAACAGAATCCTTGGCTAATGGACTTCTCTATTTTTTATTTGCTTAGGAGAATGAACCTACTTAAATTAGGTACTGATAGGCATTTGAAGACCATTACTCAAGCTGCTTGATTGAGTAAACCTCCTACATCTTGTGACATAGGGTTGTTTTGTTCTTGGGCAGGTGCCATCTTAGAGTGACAATTCACTGTATAACATGGTAATCCTGGCTCAAAGCAAAAGTGTCCATTACTAAATATTAGGCCAGTTGTAATCATTGTCTGAGACTAAAGTTTGACACGGAAGAGTATCATTTAGAAAGTTTTCTAGAAACGGTCGAGACAGGAATGTTACCGTCTCATCTGTAACTAAAAGAATCAGCTAAAAGGATTATGTACCTTATGAGTTTTATAAATTTCTCACACTAAGATTAGCTTAGGTTTTGTATTTTTGTGGTGTTATTTTTAAATTGTGATAAAAATATATTAATACATATATAAAAACACACAAAATTTACCATTTTAACCGTTTTTAAATGTACAATTCAGTGGCATTAAGTACATTCACAAAGTTGTGCAACCATTTACCACTATCTTTCTCCAGAAATTTTTCATCATCCCCACAGAAACTTTGTGTCCATTAAACAGTATCTGCCAATTCCTCCCTGGTAACTTCTATTCTACTTTCTGTCTCTATCAATTTGCCTGTTGTAAGTACCTCATATAACTGGAATCATATAATTTATATCCTTTTGCATCTGGCTTATTTCCCTTTAGCATGTTTTTAAGGTTTATCCATGTCGTAGCATGTGTCAGAATTCCATTCTTTTGAAGGCTGAATAATCCTCCATTGTATGGAGAGACCACATTTTATTTATTCATTCATTTCCTGGTGGACATTTGGGTTGTTTCCACTTTTTGGCTATTGTGACTAATACTACTGTGACTAATGGTGTATAACAATCTGGTTGAGTCCCTGCATTCACTTCTTTTGGGCATATACCTAGAAGTGAAATTACTGAGTCATCTGAAATTGTTGGGTCAAAATTAAATTCTACATTTAACTTTTTGAGGAAACACCAGATTGCTTTTTAGAGTAGCTGCAGTGCTCTGGGTTTTTTTTTTTTTTTTTCAGTTTTATGAGACAAGCACTTATACTGCATTTCCCAAAGCAGCAAAGGTCCACCCTGCTTTTTTCTCCAACCTAAGTGAAATATTCTTAATTACAAGAAATTAGTGAAATAGATTTGAAATCAGGAAACATAGTTGGCTCTAGCCAAATTATAATTGAGCAGAGATTGGTGGCCAGGGGAAGAAAAATCTTTCACAACCACAGGCTGTGTTCTTTGTTCCAGCCAAGCTGCATATGGACTGATTTAGCAAACATAGGATCACCGTGAGGTAAGGGATCATTTTTATAAAAAAAAAACTGCCAAGATTATTTTGGGGGGATTTGGTCTTTTGTACTCCTCTCCCCAAGTGAGGATTGTTGGAAAGTAGCTAGGGGAAAAACACATGTGATTATGGTGGGCAGTTTCCTAGTCTCTGCAGCCTAAATCTCTCCCCTTCCTCAGAATTGCTACAGAGGAGAGAGGACCCCCGCTTCAGAGCACAGTTTGTTGCTGAGGGACTTGCTTCCTGGGTCCATTGCAGGAAGATCCAAGATGCCCTTGGACATGACTGAGAAGTGGCCTCCTGGCTCTCCAAGGCTTTCCTAAGGGTGTGCTCAGAGAGACACTAAATAGAAATGGCAGTTAGAGCAGAGTCTTCCAGAAAACTCAGAGACTGGAAGAAAGGCCAGTAGTTTTGCTCCCACCCTAGATTTTGAATCATGAATTTCATAGTTTTCCCAAGTTCTTTAGGCTTCTAGAAAGACAATTTTTGTATATATATTGTGCCATCCATTTTGTAACATGGCTATGAATTTATGCAATTGGCTCGGTTAAAGTGACCTAGATGATTTGACTCAAAACAATACAAACTTTCTGCCGAAGAAATATAATTTTTAAAAGACATAGATTATTTATTTATGAAGGTATGTCTCAGACTTCTCTGACTAAAATGAAGTTTTCTTTTCCCCTGGTTGGATCTGGGTTCCCGTACATTCCAGGCCATTCGATCAATAGGTAGAAATCTAAACTGAGGCCAACTGGTTAGAGGTTCTGGGAACACCAGCTAGCTCTGCCTTCATGCATTACCATTAGCATCATTGACATTTTTAAGGGCCAGACTGAGTGTCGATTTGACATTTACACTGGCCTAATGCCAGCTGTTAAAACATGTAAGAACAAATCAGCAACTTAATAGAGAAACCTGCACTGATTACTAAATGGTAGGTTTTAAAACCAAAGTCACCAATGTCATTTCTCCAAATTTGTGTGGTTTCTTTTTGCTTGGAAAGTAAGTTTACACAGTCCTCTTTGAGAAAGTTTTAAGATGTTAAGAACAGCACTTTGAAAAGTGTTTGTTCTTTCTTTATCACTAATGAGTTTTATAAATAATGAGAATTCTTCTTTTTTTTTTTTTAACTTACTGAGTAATGTCCATTACAAAGAGGTACTCTAATTATCGGAGTTTCTAAGAGCCTAGGTTTGCAGTATGGAGTATTTCTGTACTCATTAGTTTTAGAAGTTAAAGGGACAATTTGAAAATTAATCTATGGTTAGTAATTAGCACCTTTGCATTTAATTTTTCACTGTCTTAAATATTCTTTTTGAAAGAGATTAGATGTGTTCCTTTTTTATCTTGTCTTAGGATGTAAATGATAACCCAAATCAGACAATTGTTTTTAACGAAGGTACAACTATTTCCAAGTGATGGACAAAGCTATGGGAGGAAGCAGCATCCATGTGTTCAAAGTTAGTCTAATAGCTAAATAATGAGATAATTCTACCATTATGTTCTTTCAGAACATGGCCCAGAATAGTTCAAAATGTGTTCAAATTTCATCTTCCCTCTTCCATCCCCAATTATTTAGGGTAGGGCAGGATAAACTTTTTTCTACAGAGTCATTGATCCATAGGGTTAAAAAAAATCAAGGATGCCAATGCACACACACTAATATACATTTGTGTAATATTGTATAGTCTGCAAACTAATGGCTCTCAACCTTGGTCACACATTGGAATAGACTAAGAATCAGTAAAAAATCCTAATACTTGGGTTTGGGTGGGGTGATTCTGATGAACAGCTATGGTTGCTGCTTTAAAGCACTTTTCTGCACATGGTCTCATGTATTTGGCTTCAACACAGGGATGATTATCTCCATTTTCCAGATCATAAAACTGAGACTCAGACTAATCAAGTGGCTTTCCCAGTCACACATGTGTGCTGCTGAGCCATACTCCATTGCTTGTTCAACTACACCAGATTCCTCATTTAAAAAGGACAACTTTGGTTGGTATTCTTAGAGAAATATGAAATACAATTTTTTAAGGAACAAAGAACATTCTTTAAGAAACATGACAAATGTGAAATAAAAATTTCTCAGTTCCTTATTATTACCAGTTAAGAGAGAATAGAGGAGGGAAAAAGAGGGAGACAGATGGGAAGAGAAAAACTACAAGGAAAAGAAAAAGTCTCAAGAAAGAATGTCCTGGTGAGAAATGGGTAAGATAGGGAGAGAAAAAAAGAGAAATTAAGAGAAACAGAGAAACTGATATACTCTGAGTTGATTGTTATAATAACAGCATCAATGACTAGTAAGTGTAGATGTAGATGATATAGATATTGATACAATTACAGATATACATAATAGATGGAGATAGATAATATAGATATTGATACAGTTACAGATATAGATGTATATATACATATAGATTGATATAGAATATAGATATTGACATGGATATTGATATAGATATAGATGGGTATAGATTTAAATAGTCATAGGTATACATAGATATGAATACACATATAGCTGATCAGATATAGATATAGATGTATATGTAGATATAGATTCTAGATGAGTGGCCATATAAAAACATTTGCCTAGGAGAGTCCTGGTTTATATGTATTGTTCTGAAATAATTAAAGATATCACCTCCTTTTGCTTTCAAAGTGTTCTGGTTTGGATAGTACAAGATAATTCAATTTATATATCCTATCACACTACCAAAGTTTAGAAAATTTTTGTAAGACATAAGATTTCATTTAATCTTGATAACTGTCTTATGAGGTAGTTAAGGCACATAGAAGACTCTCTCTCTTACAGAAAAAGCTGAGGTTCACAGGGATTGAGATGTCCACACCATAATAGCTTATGGTGACCAATGTTTATATCCATATCTTCAGACTCTAAGGCACCTTGGCTGTTATGACTTGGTCATGGAGTTTAATCCAAACTAAGCCCCCTATATTCTATAGCTTTGACCCCCCACCCCTGGGGTTACGCAGCCCTGTTGTTGTGTGCTCAGCTCACTTCCATCTGTCCCTGCCACACCCTCCGCACTCAGCACCCTTAGACCTGGACCTGATCAGCCTGCTTGTCTGGTCATGGGCTTCCTTCAAAACCTCTTCCTGGTCACACCCAACATCCATCCACCCAGCATTTATTGAGCATCACTAAATACTGAAGATCCAAGATGAGTAAGGCAAGTTTCTATCTTTGAGGATCTCAGAATGTGGTAGAATAAGTAAAATAATAGACTATGCTTTAGATACAGTAGAGTCCCCCAAGGAGGAATTAATCTAATCCATTTAGGGATTAGAGGTTATTGCCATGGGCCTCACACTACATTGAGTCCACCATCTTTCTCCACTGAGCAATGTCTATTTTAACCTTCCTTAGAGGCATATTATATGTTTAAAAGAGAATAGGGAGCATCATATGTTACTTTCCCCCATTTTTAAGTTAAATGGAGTACAAACATGCATGTTTGTGAGCATAGGGAGAGTTTATGCAAAGGTAACATGATTCATAAATCTGGAACTTTGGTTTTTATATATTAAAGAAAAGAAATTGAAACATGATCAAAATAAATATTAAACACGAGCTGGC